TTTCTTTCTTTCTTTCTTTCTTTCTTTCTTTCTTTCTTTCTTTCTTTCTTTCTTTTTCTTTCTTTCTTTCTTTCTTTCTTTCTTTCTTTCTTTCTTTCTTTCTTTCTTTCTTTCTTTCTTTCTTTCTCTCTCTCTCTCTCTCTCTCTCTCTCTAACTTCTTGCCATGTCACATAATATTTCCATTAAGTCCCTTTCTCTCCAACCAATCTGCTACTTTTAGTCGCTCTCATATTATGCCCTTCCCTGACTCAGTTTTTCCATTGTTTACTAAGTATCATCTGAAAATTGTATCCCCTCTTTCAACATTCCTAATTCCAATAAAGATGTAGAACCATCAAAGAGGGATAAACCTTGTTAAAATTATTTTTCCTCGTTACTTCCCTTAGTCAACTTTTTCTACCGAACTCTACCAAAATTTTTTTTTTTTTTAAAAACTCTGAACTCTATGTTAACATCTTTCCGTATCGTCAACCCAGGCGAAATCTTAGACGAAAACGAGGCTCTGCGCTCTAAAATACGAGATTTGAGGAATGAAAATGTTGTCATGGAGGAGAACAACCTGCAGACCCTGGCCACAACCGCCGTGGAAGATCAGGCCGGACAGGTCAGTGCAATGTCTTCAACAGGCCAAGGCCAGTTCTAATTAAGCGAACGTGTACATGTCAGCTCTATTTACTAAGTGCGTACAAGTCAATTCTGTTTACTCAGTGTTCACATGTCAGTTCTATTTACTAAGTTCGTAAAAGTCAATTCTATTTACTCAGTGTGTACATGTCAATTCTATTTACTCAGTGTGTACATGTCAATTCTATTTACTCAGTGTGTACATGTCAGTTTTATTTACTATGTGCGTAAAAGGTAGATTTGTATTTGCTCAGTGTGTACATGTCAATTCTATTTACTCAGTGTGTACATGTCAGTTTTATTTACTATGTGCGTAAAAGGTCAATTTGTATTTACTCAGCGTGTCCATGTCAGTTCTATTTATTCAGTACACGTCTGTAATATACCATATACCTCAGTCGGGTTAGGTTTTTATCTTTATTTAATTTCTTGAATTCTCCAAACTGTGAAACAGCCGCAGAACAAATTAATTCCTTCTCTGACATCTGTACCGTCATATCGCGTATCAATGCCGGTAGAATTGAAGGGATAAACCTACCCCCGGGTAAGGTAACCTGTGCCCACTATTGACAATGCGATCTGTGCTTTCGCCAACTCTTTTCCTGTCCATCTCCCCGCCCCCCCAACCCCCACAGGCCCGTATCGACTCCTACAAGGAGAAGAGTGAGAGCTGCCAGAAACGACTGGCCGAGCAGAGCCGAATCATCGACGAGTTCACGGCCTACATCCAGAAGATCATCAGGTAGGACGGTGTTACCGGACATGGACTGGGGGGGGGGGCGACTGACGATACTGTGGTGGCGGTAGTGTGGCTTGCGTTGGTGGGGCTGGGATTGGTGTGGTTGGTATTGGTGTGGTTGGTGTTGGTGTGGGTGGCATTGGTGTGGCTGTCATTAGTGTGTGTGTTTATTGGCAATGGTGTCTTGCATATCATGGAATGGCAATATTTTCTATTTGGAATTCATCTTGTTTGGGAATGTGTGTTACACTGGCAGTGGCGTAGCCAGGGTTAGTGTCCAGGGTTGGGTCAAGATTTTTCGTCGCCACTTCCATGAAAAAATAACCGCAATGGATCGAATAAAGAGAAAAATTCGTAGGAGGCCGGGGGGGGGCGCCCCTCCTCCTCACCCCTTCCTACGCCACTGTATACATGAGTTGCGACCAGCATTCATTCTAACTAGGTTGATGGGTAAGCGTTAAGCCCCATCGTATGAAACTGGTGAGTTGACACTTGCAGGAGAAGTTTACAATGTACTTGATGAACATTAAACGTTGACAAAAAATGGTCTAAAAATGAAATGGTCTAAAAATGAAATGGTCTAAAAATGAAATGGTCTAAAAATGAAATGGTCTAAAAATGAAATGGTCTAGAAATGAAATGGTCTAAAAATGAAATGGTCTAAAAATGAAATGGTCTAAAAAAATGAAATGGTCTAAAAATGAAATGGTCTAAAAATGAAATGGTCTAAAAATGAAAAGGTTTAAAATGAAATGACCTGAAAATGAAATGGTTTAAAAATGAAAAGGTTTAAAATGAAATGATTTTAAATTGAAATGGTTTAAAAATGAAAAGGTTTAAAATGAAATGATCTGAAAATGAAATGGTTTAAAAATGAAAAGGTTTAAAATGAAATGATTTTAAAATGAAATGGTTTAAAAATGAAAAGGTTTAAAATGAAATGATCTGAAAATGAAATGGTTTAAAAATGAAAAGGTTTAAAATGAAATGATCTAAAAATGAAATGGTCTAGAAATGAAATGGTCTAAAAATGAAAAGGTTTCAAATGAAATGATCTAAAAATGAAAAGGTTTAAAATGAAATTATCTAAAAATGAAATGGTCTTACATGAAATGGTCTAAAATGAAATGGTCCAAAATGAAATGGTCTAAACATGAAATGGTCCAAACATGAGATGGTCTAAATGAAATGGTCTAAAAATCAATTAATGGAAACAAAACACTTGAATAAGTCATCTGGGTGAGTTGGTAATAAAAGATAAACTCAAGATAATTTCAATATTGTGGAGAATGTATAAAGCTGGAGTTCATAGCACTCAACCGTGCCCGCACACCCTGGGTTTGCGATAGGCAATGCAGGGAAGTACGATGACCCTCAGAAAACAAATTTGTATTTAAAGGTGTTTTTTTTTTTTAATCGAGTGAGGCGTGACGGTGTAAAAAAAAAGTTTGAGAACCCCTGGTATACAGGAAATTTGGCGTGTTCGAACACCCCCCCCCCCACGACATTGAAGGTGAGACTTTGAGAGCCTTGCTTTCATACAATGTCCTGTGATATTTGACATACTTGCGTCCCAGCGTGTGGCGGGTGATTATCTTCACCATTCCCAGGCATGACCTTTGACCTTAGTGAGCAAAACGTCAACTGTCCACAACTCATCGATCCAGTCCAAAGTGATATTTTATGTTCTAGGTCTGTTCCATATATTGCCACATCTCTTTCAGAGAGCATAGAGTTGTATATGAGTTAAAGCGGGAAGATCTTGTTATGCAACCTGGGTGGCAATGTAGCATCCGATGAAGCTTTGAATACAGCATGTGGCAATATTGCATTTGATGAACCTTGGTATACAGCATTTGACAATGTGGCATATGATGAACATTGGAATACAACATGAAATCTCTACTATCTGAATTACAATGTATTCCAAAATCATGCGTGAATTCACATTTCCTACCTGACGCCCTTACCAAGGGCCGTGCAAACGGTGGTTAGGACGAAAGGAACAAATTCTGTTGAATTTTCCATGCAAAATTTGTGTTTTAAATCTACACTTTTCCGGGAAGAAGGCGCCGAAATTCAGACTTTGTCATAGGCGCAGCTTTTCCTTGCCACGCCCCCCCCCCCCAATTTCCAAACACTCCGTTATATATTCTGGCCGCTGCCCTATTTTGGGGGGGGGGGGGGGAAGGGGGGGAAAGGGGGGGGCAATTATAGCTGTTCTTCTGAATGAACCAGCTCTTAATTAAAAACAGACAAATCTTGAGAAAATCTGGGGGGAAATCTGGAAGCTGTGTTAAACGTTTTTAATTTTTATTAATGCTTAGGTTCCCTTAAGCCCACCCCTCCCCAACTTCCACCCCAACGCCTATCAGCGGCCAGCGGTGAACTCTATTTAACCCGACATCCAAATATGAGTCAGTGCCCCTTCAACAGAAATGGCTTCCCTGAGAAAGAATTTCCAATCGTAGTGTTGATGACATCAACCCTACCATTAGCTCACTCCATTAAAACCATCTTCTCAAAACACATACATGTAGAGTTTAATGTGAAACTTACATTCTTACGATATCAGCCAGATCAAACTAGATCGTGTGGCCCTCGGCGACTTCCTGGAGAAAGATGGTAGCATTAAGGACCGGAACCTGCTGGGCGTCATGACCGCCGTGGAAAAGGAGATTGGTGATCAGATGAAGGACTACTACATGGTCGAGTTATCTGTAAGTCTTACTACGACATGGTCGAGTTGTCTGAAAGTCTAATTACTACATGGTCGAGTTATCTGTAAGTCTAATTACTACATGGTCGAGTTGTCTGAAAGTCTAATTACTACATGGTCGAGTTATCTGTAAGTCTTACTACGACATGGTCGAGTTGTCTGAAAGTCTAATTACTACATGGTCGAGTTATCTGTAAGTCTAATTACTACATGGTCGAGTTACCTGTAAGTCTATTACTACATGGTCGAGTTATCTGTAAGTCTAACTACTACATGGTCGAGTTATCTGTAAGTCTAATTACTACATGGTCTAGTTATCTGTAAGTCTAACTACTACGTGGTCGAGTTATAAGTAAGTATAATTACTACATGGTCAAGTTATCTGCAAGTCTAATTACTGCATTGTCGAGTAGTTATTAAAAGACAATAGTGAAACCAATAGTGGGATGTGTGTTTGTGAAAGCAAAAGGAGGATGTGTGCTTGTGAAAGCAATATTAGGATGTGTGCTTGTGAAAGCAATAGTAGGATGTGTGCTTGTGAAAGCAATATTAGGATGTGTGCTTGTGAAAGCAATAGTAGGATGTGTGCTTGTGAAAGCAATAGTAGGATGTGTGATTGTGAAAGCAATAGTAGGATGTGTGCTTGTGAAAGCAATATTAGGATGTGTGCTTGTGAAGCAATAGTAGGATGTGTGCTTGTGAAAGCAATAGTAGGATGTGTGCTTGTGAAAGCAATATTAGGATGTGTGCTTGTGAAAGCAATAGTAGTATGTGTGCTTGTGAAAGCAATAGTAGGATGTGTGCTTGTGAAAGCAATAGTAGGATGTGTGCTTGTGAAAGCAATAGTAGGATGTGTGCTTTTGAAAGCAACAGTAGGATGTGTGCTTGCTTGTACTCTGTAGCACACACTCTCCACACAACATCGTACCTGACCTCCTGTGTTTGCTTTTAATTCTGTCCTCCTCACCCAATTCGTTGTACATTACATTGTATGTTGTTTTGTTTGGTCTTAATTGAAACCCCACCACTTGCCTATACATGTCATGTAGGTCAGTTGATGTCAAGTCCAGGCTGAAACCTTCCAGTTGTTTTTGAAACGTTGCCTTTAGCGCATGTGTGTGTGTGTTTAGACCACAAATCAATCTTCGACGAGCTGGTTGTCACGTGAGCTGGTTGTCACGTGAGCTGGTTGTCACGTGAGCTGGTTGTTATGTGTGGTTTGTTTCTGAAAGAATACACCATAAAATTAGGTCAAAATGCTCTTTAAAAGGTAGAGCCAAATAATTGTAATCTCTATATTTTTTATTAAAAGAAGAAAAAAAAGAGAATAAGATATTATTAGGTGAAGTCATTGGGCATCACCAACGAGCAAGGCCATGCCTAAATGTGGACCGGGAGGGGGGGGGGGCGAAGAAGCCACCCGCCCCAGGCGCACGTCTTCAAGTGTTATAATATATTAAATACAAGGGGAAGAGAGCGCCTAAATCCAGACTTGGCCCCGGGTGCAGCTTTTGTTTGATATGGCTTTTCCAAAGAATTAGTGGCGCGATTCAAGTTAAGAACCCATGTTTTTAAACAAATGTAGATTTTGATTTGTTTGAAAGGCTGTCTTGTATGCCATGAAAGGCTGTCTTGTATGCCATGAAAGGCTGTCTTGTATGCCATGAAAGGCTGTCTTGTATGCCAGGAAAGGGTGTCTTGTATGCCAGGATCGGCTGTCTTGTATGCCAGGAAAGGCTTCTTGTATGCCATGAAAGGCTGTCTTGTATGCCATGAAAGCCTGTCTTGTATGCTATCGTGGAAAGCCTGTCTTGTATGCCATCGTGGAAAGCCTGTCTTGTATGCCATCGTTGACATGCTGTCTTGTATGCCATCTTTGAAAGGCTGTCTTGTATGCCATCGTTGAAAGGCTGTCTTGTTTGCGATTGATAACATTTCCCTTGACACTGCTTGAACTCATTCTCCACATTATTTTCCATGTAAATATAACATACTTTCATCGTACTCTCATCACACTTTCAGCACACTTTCATGATATTTTAATATATATATTCCCCCCTCCCCCCACTTTTTATCCAGGCAAGGGCGGTAATTCGTGGTAAAACAGACGCCACACCGGAAGAGAAGATGATAACTCGCATTCCTTCCTTCCGTATCGGTCCACACACAGCCCCAAGGATCATACCTTCGAATCTCGTGTAAGTGCTTACATTGTATTCGTACGCCGGTCGATAATCGATCGTGACCATTTCAACCGTCAGATTGGTGCTGTGGCTGAGCCTGTCTGTGGGTGCGCAGATGGCTGAGGAGCACGCAGTGCTTCTTGTGCAGAAGGTGCATGGGATGGACGGGACAACGCTTTGTATTTTGTGCTCTGCAGCAGTTGTGCTGTTTGCCCCGTGTTTCATGGATCCTTTGTGTAAGGAGGAACGCCGCGGTCCTCGATCCTTTGCGGACAGTTCGCACGTGTCCAGATTAAATTGAAACGCTTTCAGAGATGCTTTCAGTGTGTCTTTAAAAGTTTTTTCTGCACCCCCCCCCAAGCAAACGGCTTGTCACGCTTGACTTCGCCACAAAATATTATTTTGGGCAAGTGGTCTTTTGACATTCTCACAAAATGTCTTACCCAGCCAAACCGTGGCTGCATCAATAAGGTGTTTATGCTGGGGGAGACTGTCTTATGCGACAAGTCCTGCCAGACCTGCTTGTGCGAGTAGTTCGGTGACTGGGACCTTGTCCTGCCAGACCTGCTTGTGCGAGTAGTTCGGTGACTGGGACCTAGTCCTGTCAGACCTGCTTGTGCGAGTAGTTCGGTGACTGGGAACTTGTCCTGTCAGACCTGCGTGTGGGAGTAGTTCGGTGACTGGGAACTTGTCATGCCAGACCTGCTTGTGTGAGTACCTCGGTTCAGACCTGCTTGTGCGAGTAGTTCGGTGACTGGGACCTAGTCCTGTCAGACCTGCTTGTGCGAGTAGTTCGGTGACTGGGAACTTGTCCTGTCAGACCTGCGTGTGCGAGTAGTTCGGTGACTGGGAACTTGTCCTGCCAGACCTGCTTGTGTGAGTACCTCGGTGACTGGGAACTTGTCCTGCCAGACCTGCTTGTGTGAGTACCTCGGTGACTCGGGCCTTGTCCTGCCATTTTATGATGAGGATTTTTCTCCTGCTCGTAGTGCTCTTTCACTTGCATATAGTCAGATGCGTATCGAGGGGGGGGGGCAGGGGGGACAGATGTCCACGGGCGCAAGCGAGTTAGGGGCGCCAAAATGTGCTTTGATATTATTTTATTGATGAAAATAATGGGTTTGAGAGTTGAAAAAAAGAAAAGGGAGGATTTAAAATGGAGCTTGTCCCCGGGCGCGAATCTTGTCCCCGTGCTCCAAACACCCTCGCTACGCCTCTGCATATAGTAGCCACCTTGTAAAATTGAAGTATCTATCTCACTTAAATGCCTTCATTGTAGCACCAATCTCACTTACATGTTAACATGTTAAATTGACTTAACAGTTGTTTTATTCGTGAAGACATTCAGTCGAAACCAACAGTGTATGTTTTGTTCTATGTCTAAAACTTTCTTATATCCCTTTCTTAATATTTTCTTTTCAAACAGACGAACGCCCTATACACATGTATTGTTAGGTTATTGGCCTAATTTTATATCATCTATAAAAATATCTCATCCCATCTATACAAATATGTTATCCCATTGGTGTGTTCTAAAGTTCTAAAGCCCCAGGCACACGTTATCTTGTTGCAGCAAAGAGAAAGAAGACGTGGATGAGGTGAAGAACGTTGGCCTGCTGAGCCACGAGGAGGCCAGGGACATTGTGGTCAAGACTCTGCTGGACAAGAAACGGGGCAGCTCGAAACACGTCGGGGCAGACAAAGGCACCCCGGATATGCCCTGGATGCACAAGTAGGGGCACCGAGCACGGCACGTCCCGCCTAAAACAACCTTCTGTAGTATGCGTTGTGGGAATAATAGGGATTGTACAGTTTTGTTGTGTGGCGCATACACTGTCACGGCAGTCTTGTAAATGTCTGTGCTGATGGTGAAGGCAGACATGTGGCAATAACGTCAGCATTAACAAAAGAAGTCGCCGTCGAGAGATTCACCGAGCAAACAAAAATGAATGAATTTTGATGTTTAAATTCGAAGATACCAAGATAGGTGGATAAGATAACATTGTTCCATGCCCCCATGTGTTTATTTATAAAACCATTCAATGCGCCATCTTTTGTGTCCTCGCTTGTCATGTACATGTATGAATAAGGAATAGAATTGTGTCTATCGGGAAATGGTTGACTATAGATGGAGTGGTTGTCTAGAGATGGAATGGTTGTCTAGAGATGGAATGGTTGTCTAGAGATGGAATAGTTGTCTAGAGATGAAGTGGTTCTCTAGAGAAGGAAGGGTTGTCTAGAGATGGAATGGTTGTCTAGAGATGGAATGGTTGTATAGAGATGGAATGGTTGACTGAAAATGGAATGGTTGTTTAGAGATGAAATGGTTATCTAGAGATGGAATGGTTATCTCAAAATGGAATGGTTGTCTACAGATGTTGTCATGCCATAAATGATTTGTTTAATCGGCTTTTAAGCTAATATAGTAATTAATTGTTGGTACTTTTAAGCTAATATATTAATTAATTGTTGGTACTTTTAAGCTAATATATTAATGAATTGTTGGTACTTTTAAGCTAATATATTAATGAATTGTTGGTACTTTTAAGCTAGAGCTCCACTAAACTTTGATAACTTTAAAATGTACATGTATATTATAATATATATCTTTTGATAGCACTATGCTCCCAGTCAGCGGTGCTCAATTTGTGGGTCTAGTCGGGCCGCATGCAATCTCTCTTAAAGGGAAACAAGAAGTTCCATATTCCATAATTCTGGTAGGAATAATCAATGAATCCAGTAATATCCCTAATCACGTTGCAATATTTGTAACGATAAAAACAAACAAACAAACAAACAAGTGATTGCATTGAAATTAAACAATAAATACTTCATGGAAGCGTGAAGGACTTTTTTTGTGAATGGTGTCGTGTTAATTGTTTTATATGTGAAGCTCGGTGTGTTGTATACTTTATGATCGTCATCAGTGGCGCTACAGCCCATGCAGGGCCCTGTCATGCTCCACCACATCCGTCCATTCGGATCGATCCATGGCTTTCCGCCTCCATGCGCGAACCCCCAACTGGTGTAAGTCCTTCTCTTAACATCACCGATCCTTCTCAGTCTTGGTCGACCGGTGATCCGTACATTTAGTGATACAGTTGAGACATCTTTTGTTGGTTTAAATAATATGTTGTTTTTTAAAGTTACAAAAAAAAAAAAAATTTGATACTGGCCTCAGATACACGAATCTGACTCCACCAAATATGATAGATGATACGTGCTAGGAAATCTGGAATAATAAGGAGTAAAAATTAATGGAAAACTTTTTAACTCATAGCATAGCAACGGAAGTGTCGGCGAAAAGCCTCATTCGACGTTCAAATAAAAAAAAAAATACAAATTGAAAATTACTGACATATTAGTTCATATAAATGACAGCTGTCAAAACTCCGTTAGGAAACTGGAAAATGACAATGATCTTCATACTGTGATCAGCGGCGTTTATAATGAGCGGAAGTAAACGTGGATTGGGTGGAGACAAGAATGGAAAGGTCGAAGAAGGTGTTGACAGGTGAAAGGAAATAGGAGAGGGGGGAGGGGAAGTAGTGTGCCTCCGTTGTTGCCATGTGATGTCAGCTGCGTAGGTAGCCGTAACACAAGGCTTGCCGTAAGCACGGACTACACGTGACCAAAGGCTGGGTGAGGCGGCTTAACCCGTACCTCAGGCGGGACTGGGGGAACTCATGTCGGGCTATTTCAGGACAGTTGCAATTCTGACACATGAGCACCACCCCGGTCGCCACACGTACACATTTACACATCCAGTACCTCGATACTTACAGAACACAGTTTCATACTAATTATGTATGGTTCCCATATTGACACCAACATTTTACACGTGTGCACCCAAGTGTTTCTCATATACATACATATATATATATATATATATATATATATATATATATATATATATATATATATATATATATATATATATAAATGTTAAATGAGTCTATCACAACCCATCCACCTTTTAAAAAGAAAGTGCCGCCCGGGGCGGACCGCATTCGACGCCACTCCCTTCCTACGCCAGTGCTCCCTCTCTACCTCGATCTCTCCCTCCCTTTCTCTCTCTTTCCCTCTCCCTCTAACAGAGTAGATGGGATGAACACCTCGAATAGTCTTAAAGCAAACAGATGCCAGCTAAGAACGTTAAATAAAAAAGACGCCTGGACATAAAATATCAATATTTGCATTCGACACAAGGTGAAGGTCACCATAGATTTACCTAGAGGTCCCAACATGTGAAAACCCAGTGAATCAAAAGTTGACACACCATTTGGGCGCCAGGGGATGGGGGGGATGAGGTTGAACCCCTGAGTAAATACTTCTCACCAAAATGACGACGAGCCTCCGCTTGGTTATGCAGGTGATTGCTCTTGTGATGAAACTGTGTGAACCAACCTGCAGTGCCGCGGAGGAACTCTTGTGATGAGACTGTGTGAACCAACCTGCAGTGCCGCGGAGGAACTCTTGTGATGAGACTGTGTGAACCAACCTGCAGTGCCGCGGAGGAACTCTTGTGATGAGACTGTGTGAACCAACCTGCAGTGCCGCGGAGGAACTCTTGTGATGAGACTGTGTGAACCAGCAGTGCCGTGCAGGAACTCTTGTGATGAAACTGTGTGAACTTGAAGTACCGTGCAGGAACTCTTGTGATGAAACTGTGTGAACCAACCTGCAGTGCCGCGCAGGAACTCTTGTGATGAGACTGTGTGAACCTGCAGTGCCGTGCAGGAACTCTTGTGATGAAACTGTGTGAACTTGAAGTACCGTGCAGGAACTCTTGTGATGAAACTGTGTGAACTTGAAGTACCGTGCAGGAACTCTTGTGATGAAACTGTGTGAACTTGAAGTACCGTGCAGGAACTCTTGTGATGAAACTGTGTGAACTTGAAGTACCGTGCAGGAACTCTTGTGATGAAACTGTGTGAACTTGAAGTACCGTGCAGGAACTCTTGTGATGAATGTGTATGAACTTGAAGTGCCGTGCAGGAACTAAAAAAGAGATTAAGAAAATTTTTGAAATCCAATTTATTTTTTTAAAAGGGTCAAAGCAACTGAACGTATAACATTTTCGGTTTACATCTTTGGCACGTGTAATGGTTACATCAAGTTGGCCATGTGTAATGGAGAAATCAAGTTGGACACGTGTAATGGTTACATCAAGTTGGACACGTGTCATGGTGACATCAAGTCGGCCATGTGTAATGGTTACATCAAGTTGGACACGTGTAATGGTGACATCAAGTCGGACACGTGTAATGGTGACATCAAGCTGCATAGCCCTGATATCCTCAAATTTAAATAACTACGTCATAAGAGTTTTACTTTCCTCAAACCACTTTAAAGCGGCCATTTTGTCCCTCTTGTTCAGCTCTTCCTCTCCCCCGCGAAGTGTGTGTAAGCCTTGTCGGTGGACTCTGTGTATATGTTTCGCCGGAACGAATTTCAAACCAACTTGGTGACCAAGCAGGTTAAAGAAAAGATTGATTTTTTTTTAAAATTTTTTTGAAATAAAACAGACTTATATTTGTGTCTAAATCAAGTGTCTTGCTACCTGTTTCAAAGGTTAAATTGTACTAATGGAAGTCTTCATTATTCAAAAATCGCCCACACTATTTGTTGAAGAGATCCACCAATCGATTATGTTAGCAAATTTTGGGCAGGTTTTTTGTTGTAGGGCATTGCTAATAGGCTTTGTTTGTTTAAAGCATTGTCACGCCGATTGCAGTCAATGAAATCTCTTAGTGCAGCGGTTCCCAGACTGTGCGCCACGCAATATGAGCAAACGTTTCTTTTGTGGAAGTTGAGTAAGTCAATCAGTAATAACGGTTTGCAGACGAGAAAGCATCCGCATGTGGTCAATGGATGACGCTTTGTGATAATAAATGTTAAAATTTAATTATTTTTTTTTAACTGAACTATTCAATCAAGACTGGGGCTACGGTTGCTGGTGCCACGTACAAACTTATCTTTGGCGCCCCTTTTCATTATACACTTTTTGCAAGGAAACAACTGGGGATTAGGTATGAGTTTATTACCAAAGTTCTTTAAAAAAAAAAATTAAAAAAAATAAAAATAAAAAATAAAATGAAATTGTTTTTCTTAAGTTGTATTTGGACAGTATGAATAATTATCCTACCGTGGGCAGTAGGAACAATCAGCCTACCGTGGGCAGTAGGAACAATCAGCCTACCGTGGGCAGTAGGAACAATCAGCCTACCGTGGGCAGTAGGAACAATCAGCCTATCGTGGGAAGTATGAACAATCAGCCTACCGTGGGAAGTATGAACAATCAGCCTACCGTGGGCAGTATGAACAATTAGCCTACCGTGGGCAGTATGAACAATTAGCCTACCGTGGGCAGTATGAACAATTAGCTTACCGTGTACAGTATGAACATTTAAGATACAAAGGGCAGTAAGAACAACTAGCCTACCGTGGGCAGTGTGAACAATTAGCCTACCGGCCTACCGTGGGCAGTATGAACAACTAGCCTACCGATGACATTTTGTTCCTCAGCTTTAGGCTCAGCACATCTTTTTATTGCTCTTTCTGGTTTTTTTCTTTCATGGCACCCACATGCATTGATTTTTTCCTATTTTGGAAGATCGTTGATTGCACCCTAAGCAAATGGCGCTCCGAGTTGAGCCAGCCCTAAATTCCCTTAAAACGAATAAGTTGCCCTATTTCACAGTGTACTTGCTAGCTTTGACATAAGACCCTTATGGCGAAACATGTATTCAACAAGGGGGGCAGAGACTAGAACAAAAACTTTGGGAATCATTGTTTTAGTGGCTGAAACATTACCACACGTTCGATAAAGCTATCGGCTTTTCCATAATTCAGATTAAAAACAAACAAAATCTCCCAGACATTGAAAGATTAATTGTATGAAGAGAAAAAAAAGTTCTATAAAAATAAATCAAAAAATCAAATTGACGCATTTTATTCTCAACTTCAGCATCTGTTTTAGTCAGTACAATTTATAAAATAATAACCAGTTATGAACATATCAAACAAGTGAAAGATCTATAATAATAATAATAATAATAATAACAAGAGAGGAAATTATTAAGTAGACGAAACAAATATGTATATTATTCATTGATGTATTATAATATTATTTTAACAGTAACAATGTATAAATACAGCTAAAGATGTAAATAAATAACACAAAGAGTCCGAGATGGACGCACTTGGAGTGATGTCAAGTTACGTCACAGGTTGGTTAATGACGAAACAAGTGGCACCCTCTGTGTAGGACAAAAAAATTACGTGTCAAGGCATCACGACCTAGAGTAAAAGTCCCCCCCCCCCCCCCTAAAAAATTACGTGTCAAGGCCTCCCGACCTAGAGTAAAAGCCCCCCCCCCCCCCATTACCAGCTACAAGGACATTTAAATAGATTTACATGGGAAAAGGCAATTTTTAAATTGACTTCACAGTTCTCTTGTTTAGGCATCGAGAATAAATATCCAAAAAGTATTTATCCGTTTTTGTTTATTTAATGTATGTTAAAGCCATTTTGATTAAAAAGTTAAAAGGAATTAAACGGCAAAAAAAAAAAAAAAAAAAAAAAAAAAAAAAAAAAAAGAAAAAAAAAAAAAAAAAAAAAAAAAAAAAAAAATGATTGTTAGGTTGATTCCTTTCGATGATGTTTTAACATATTTTGAAAACTGTCTAGACATAAATAAGAAAGAAATAAATACTTGAATTGGATGTATTACAGA